TTCTGATTCTGATTCTGATTCTGATTCTCTGCCAAATATAGTGATATCCCTGGGATTTCTTCATGTCGACGATACGATTGCAGATGTTGTTGTCTTCTCTTCGGGACATATTTTTAGAAATCACTATACCTAAATATTTAACTTCCAATTCAACTCTTATAGAAGTGTATCCACATCCAATGTCCCATTAAGGCCTCTAAGACTTTCCAGAAACACAGTGCCATTCTCCGTTGAATAGGTTGACTTGTAAAGGTTACTGTAAAAATGAAGTATTTCCACGTTTATTTTGTCAAGCACTGTTTGTCTAAATACACTCCTCCTCAACCAGTGTTGCCAACTTAGCGACTTTGTCGCGGGTTTTCAGACCCCCTTAGCGACTTTTTTTCTAAAAAGTGACTAGCGACAAATTTGGCGACTTTTCCTGGTGTTATTGGAAACTTATTTATGACGACTTTTTGACGTGAAAGGGCGTGTTGCTCTTACTCTCTCAACAAGCAGCGATGCTGCCGTGGGCACCTCACCCGTGCTAAAGCGCAAACGGGCGGAGGATAGTCCTCCCCCAGCTGCAGGAGATGTTCACACCTATGCGTCCAAACTGCAAATGAACCGCGCATGAGCGAAGCCGCTGCTCCGCACTGACTGTAACGCAGTCAGTTCTTCTTTTACTGTTATGCTGTTTTGTGGATCACAAGGTTTAAAACTACTTATAAACACACACACATAAAGTAACTCCACCAGAGTGCCTATTTCGGGTCACGTTTGCCAGTCGAAGCCCGGATAAAGGAGCAGGGTTGGAATTGTGACATTAAACAACAATAATTGCTAAAAGAAATTTAATTTGTAGTTCTAAATAAACTCTAAATGTATTTAGGACGTTTTTTGCTCACTTTATGTCTCTTCCACGAAGTTATTTCTCTTTCCAACAGCGTAGGTTACAATTACATTAGCATGACCAATTATGCAAATTATGTGATGACGTCATTTAGCGACTTCTAGGAAAGCCAATAGCGATTTTCCTTACTGAGGAGTTGGCAACACTGTCCTCAACCCTACCTCTCCAAATAGTCAGTCTTTCCCTTATTGCTAATGTTGTCCATTCTCGTCACTCCCAGTGAAAATAAGTTTTTCAGCTCTGCCACGGTCTCCAGCCTCAGAACTAATAGTAAGCAAGTGCCTTGACGGTGGTTTCGCCATAATAACTATTAATGAGTAATTAATGAGTGAGCAAGTGAATGTCTGAAGGGAACAGTGTTGGAGGGGGAGCATGAACATTGTGTGCTTTTGAAGACAGGAAGAAACAGAGCTCCTGAAGCTGGAGGAAACCCATAAAAGCAGGGAGAATATTTTCAAATTCCACAGAGACGGGAACAAAGGACTCTTGCTGTGAGGGATCAATGCTAACCACTGAGCTGAGAAGCCACAAGTCAGAGATTTCATGTTCTCCACTTCAAAGTGTTGCTAATCACTTTGAGAAGACTGTAAATATTGGAGCAACCGACGCACACCATGTGTAATCTGTACACTCAAATCTATATTTTCATGTAAATGTTTAACCTTTACATCTTATTTCCCCCTATTAGACAAAACTGAGTTAAACAGCTAACTGAAAATGAGCCATAGCATTACCAAAATGCCAGTGGCACGGCAGCCTGCCAGCTCACAAACCATTACGACTCTCATTTTATTTCCAGTAAAATGACACATGTGACCTAACTTTGGTGAAGAGCCATTAAGTGATCATTGTTTGCAAGTTTCACTAACATTTGACGAATACTCTTGGAGTACAGACCCTTATAAACTGTGATGAGCAAAAAAACCAGACAAAAACACCACTTTAAGAACATGATATATTTGCTAACATAATTGGAAAAACACACAAAAACCCAAAAAGATGACAGAAGATCCCGACATACAACTGAAAGATGGAGCATTTCAGAATTCCAAAATCTTCTTCACATTACAACACTATTAAATTTCAGTCCCTCAGGTGTGTCACACCCTCTGTGGAAAGTGAAATTTGCCCGTGAAGCGTCCGTGGTTGTGCAGGTCGAAGGGGCTGAGCACCCTCCTGATGCCCAGCATGTTGCCCTGTGCGATCTTCTTAAAGCTCCAGGGATTCTGGTTGTTCTGCTCCATGTCAGCTTGTTTCTTATGCAGGGCTGCTAGACTCTCTTTGTTCACTACCTGGAATAAAGACATGAGAATACTGTTACCACAGAGAACCAGTGGGTAAAAACTGCGGTCACTTCTAATTCAGACTTTTTCTCCCACCAGCGCATGCCTTATCTGTGATCTCACCTTCGCAGGAAAAGGAAGCTTCTTTGCCACTTCAGTCAAGATGTGCTCGACCTCGCCCAGCTCCACCTTTCCTCCCACCTCCACGATCAAACGTCCGTAACGAACCGGTGTCACGTAGTGGTCGATGGCTCCCTTGCCCCCACCCATGCGCTGACCCAGACCTTTCCGCGTGATGGGCTTGTAAGGGGCGTTGATGCGCCACATTGCAAACGTGGTCCGGGCGTCCATCTTTCGATTGATCGTAAGACGCATCATCTCTATATGACCCCAGTGGAGGTACCCACCTCCCAAGGCCTGTATATCAGATCAGAGAAAACAGGTCACTTAGTGTCATTCTCTATTTTTTAACTATTTAAAAAAAACATATGGCAGCACACAGATTAAACCAGGCAGCAACTCTTAAGTCAGTTTAATGCCAAAAACTAAAGTCCCTGAAATCAATCCACATAAAAACCCATTTTAAAGAAGCCAACATCGGCACAAAACATTCTGGCACAAAAAGCGGCTTTGTTTCCCATCACTCACTTTCACCATCTACCCGAGCCAAACTGACAAATACCTCACTTCATTTAAACTGTGTAAAAGGCTTAAAGTTACCATGCTGTGGCTGCTGTGTGACAGACAGGTGCCGTTTCATCTCACAAGTACTTAAAAAAAAAAAAAAAAAATCTCGAGTAAAATTAAAAAAGAACCAGGTTGAGTCACCTTTTATTTTAACTATAAATCTTGATCAGCACAGAACAAACAAAATGTCAAGGCACTTAGTCATATCCTGTAAAACATGCAACACTACTGTCAGCCATATCTAAAGTAAGATAAATGCACTCACCACAATAGCGTACTGTCCCGTGGTGAAGGTATTTGCAGATTTAGCTGGGCCCTGGATATCCCACAGCTTCTTTGCCTCTTTCTTGGCCTTTTTTAAGTTCGGCACCTTGTTCAAAAACTTCAGTTTGGGCTTGTCTGGCAGCACCACATCTGTAGAGGATAAAAACAGGCACGAAGGAACATGTCACATATTTACATATTTACCTGCTACTGAACACCAGAACTGAGGGTGCTGGATGCAAATAAAAAGGTTGCTATGTGGAGAAGGGTTGGGATTGGAGCTCTAACTGCTATACTAATAGTCCACGCAACACTCATGGTGAAAACTGCACGTCCGGCACAATTTCCTCCACGGGTGTTGTGGATCAGAGGCGACCTTTTCACAACAGAAAGGAGTGAATTGACGCATGCAAAGTGTGAATTGTGTTGCCATGACACATCTAGAAGAAACCCAAACACTAAAGATTTGTACAGCCCTGCTACAGGCACATTTATGTCAGCGATGTTTGTAGGAAAACTATAGATGTCTTCCCACTGTTCATGTTTACATCGCAGTGCAGTCTGATTGGTGACCCTTCCAAATCTACAGTGAGATGAACGTGTTTCACCTTTTCAATTTTGAACCTGTGCATAACGGAGAAAGTATTTATTACACGGCGTGCTGCGGGGAAAAGCCTGTTCTAACGTTTGAGTCTAAGGTTTATTTTTTTAACACCTGGCGGCTCTTTTTTGCTTCTCATCCGTAAATACTCTGCATACTCTTTCACATGATTCAGTTTATTTTGAAAAGTCTCAACAGGATCTTGAGCTTTATTGTGAAAGGTTTATGTGGAAAATAAACAAGCGGACATGCGGTGGTTTTACCGTTGTTGTTGCTAACGACAACGCATAAAAACAGGCGCTTGTCCGTCTGTAGTGTGGTTATATTAAATATAAGAGAAAGAGAGAACTTTAAGAAATTAATAGAGCCATGAAAAAATATTGACGTAAACAGTTTATTTTGCGACACCATGAAACAAACTATAGCGTAAAATGAACCGAGAGATGTTTTTATATCGTCATCCGATATATAAATCGTTATATCAAACAGCCCTATTCACATGAATCATAACTACTGACTCATGCACATCTGGTATATCCCTCTGCATGATTTTTGAAACAATAAAGATATTTCATGTTTTCTTAATAGGCGGAGAAGTCAGCATATAAAGGCCCGCAGGTTGAGAGTTGGGGTTACTTTTGAAAGCTTCATGCTGTGATTTAAGTCATGGTTGGGGTTGTTTAGTGAGAATGAAGCATGACTCTGGACCAGCAGTGTAAAGCCATAAAAATTAACCAGCCTGACACAAATAAGTGAAAAGAAGATGAATAATTACCACTGTAGTCTGGAGGGATTTCATATGTCTTCAGCCCTGCAGAGAGGACTTTCAAGTAGCTGTGCAAAGGACCTGTGGAGTAAACCACACGTGAGACAACTGTGCAAGAGGAATTTTGTGGTTTTCAGAAACAAAACAAGTCTTACTTGTGTAGGCTGTTATATTTACGAAAAATATGCTTGAAGCAAGTCTGCGGTGAACTTGTCTTCATCTGAAACTGATGTTGTCATGTCCTGTGTGGAAAATCTATTTACTGTGTGTCCAGCTTTTACAGGAAGTCAGCTGCTCTTTGTACATGTGCAGCTTATTGTTTACTGCAGGTTTCTTGTTTGGCATAATGTAATTATCATATCCTGTTGAATAAAATTAATATGGCATTTCTGTCATAGAAGTGCTTCAGTAGCCAAATGTCTAATCACTTCAATCAGCCTCAGCGTTAAGGACCTTGGGGGTCCAAGTCCTGCATGCCGAGTGAAAAATTGCCAAAGCTCTGCTGATTCAATAACCTCAGAGCCCCAAACCTCATCTCCTTACCATCAGCTCAAAAACTTAGTGCAAGAGCAAGGTTTCCACAGCTGACCAAATCCTGTAGTATGCATGTGTGAGTGGCCCAGTTGCCCAGTTTTAAGGCAGGACGTCACTCATAAACTGCAAAACAAGTGAAAATGTGTTGGAAGACACCGTTCCCTTACAGTCACTGTACTAGTGTGTGGTGAGCTCACTGATCCACATCGGCACCAGAGAGAACATCTCTCATGATTTCTCTCTGTAGTCTTGTGACTGCTTCTCTACGAGCCTACTTACACCCATCCATGGATTGGTGTAATTGTGTGTATGGTGTGGTTTAAAGTAACCACACCATACACACAGTAATGTACAGCGGTGCATTACTGCACTGTGATATACGAATGAACTCACTCTTTATTTTTAATTGTTGTGTTTACTGGCTGGTTGCCCGTCTAGTTGAGAACCCTGGCCAGGATCCTGTCTTCATACACTGCCTTTCTTTATGGGCTAACTGTGTAACGTTAGCATGGAAAATAAGGTTTACACAGTTTAGCTGCAGTCTCGTCTACCTAGTAGTGAATGTCGGTAACCTAATCAAACTGCCCCGTTTCCACCTTTACCTGGAGGTTAACGTTATGATGAGGTTACCATTAGCTAGCTTGTATTACCTTGTAGGTGACTCCTGGTTTGACAGATTCCGGTCAGCCTGCCGGCAGCAGCTTTAATGAGGGAGAGCATGATGTTAGCGTTGAAATGGACCCTACAAACACCAAACAGTCATTCCGTGTGGTACATATACGAGCATTTTAGGTGTGTGAATAATATAAAATTCTACAAACACCACGTTGGACAAATGGTCGCTGCCATCGCGGAGTTACTGTAAGACTTCCGGCACAAAAAGAAACATTTCCGGTGTTCGTGTCTTTCACAATAAAAGTATTACAGCCCTCTTTCTGGCTTTTTCTTGTCATTATTATCATTAATCTGATATATTTAATGTGATATAAACATATCACATGAAAGTACAAAATCTATTGTGGTATTTGATTTATATACACATTTAGCACATGAATTCAGAAGCGGACACAGTAAAAATCCACCTTAACCTCCTAAGACTCGAACTCTTTCGTGGCATGCATTTTTAATTTCTCTTTGATATTTGGGCTGATTGGGACCTGAGAAGTTTAAAAACAAAGAATTGCCAGATTTTTTTTTTTTTTTTACCTGATTTTTCTTTCTGACAAAAAATGAGATGCACATATGAGGATATTTGTTTTAAATTTCAATAGAACAGTAGCAGTATCATGTCCTCGTAAGTGAATATCAGGCCCTTGTAGAGCAAAATTTTGTATTTTGGTCTAGAGGACCCAAAATGTTATGTCCACATATGTGAACACCAGGTCCTAGGAGGACTAATAAGGTCAATAGATCTCAACCTACTTCTATTATCCACCTATGGGGGATTTTAGGCGTATGCGCACTGCTCTATGGAAGGTTTTTTTTTGTGCCACTGGAACAAACAAAACTTTAGAAAATAATACATTTTTGCCACCCATAAGTTTAAACTTTCTAAATAATCATTTGAAATTTTCAACTTACTAACTCATCTTGTTGAGAAACTTGAACTCAAAATTGAAAAAAATAAATAATGTAAAATTTCAAATTAAGTTGACAATTTGAGATGAAAATTTCAACTTATCTCTGCCAATCAATCGTGTTTGTTTCAGTGGCAGAAACAAGCTTCTATACCACAGTCCACTGCTGTCATCAGAAGATCAAATTTAATTACCTTACCCTTACATTAACACCAGTGATCCTAAGAAACTTGTTCTAAACAGGTAGAAAATGCAAACTCCACACAGACAGACACCTGTCCAACAGGAGGGCTGAGCCGAGAGAACGCAGAGAAAAATGATGGTTGAAATTTTATTATAACAGCAGAGCATGCACAGTGGATAAATGTGCCATCTCGCTGCTGATATACATTGGTTTACCACAGGAAACGCTAACACAGTGCATCAAAACTCACGCCTATCAAACGTGTGAAGAAGGCAGAAAAAAAACAAAAAACACCAAAATTATATTTTTCACTGATAAAAATTTTTTTAGTGTTAACAAAATAAACTATGAAACATTTGACAAATCCCACTACAGAGTGCGCACCTGCCATTACTTAACACAGGTAAAATTTGAACTCATTCCAGTTTTTCCAGCCTCCCACATAGTACTGTTAAAAACTGGTAGAGACTACCCTGCAGTCAAACTCTTTACATCCCTTAGGTTTGCATTTCCTATATCATCAAATATTTGCAAAACACTTCTGTTGATATCTGTTTTTACTAACCCGCAATCCTCCTTACTGTCACACTCCCTGTCTAAGTGAATTAGAAGAACCTTTAAAGTATCAGGAGTAGAAACAGTAAAGGCAAAAACACTGTCGGTAATTTGATCTCTACAACAAGAACAACAACAAAAAAAGAATAAATGTTCAACAGTCTTTAAATCGGAGGCACTTTAGTATTCCTCAAACAGCTACTTTGTGGTTCAAAGTCTGAATGTCTCTTGTTACTCATTCAGCAGCCGTCAGTGCTACTCTGCAGAGTTTCTTGCCCATCACATAATGAATAAAGTCACCGATTCTAAATCCCGTGGTAGAGGAGATCATATTTGGGAATATTTTGAGGATCTATGGGACTCTGGACGATCATTTTCCCCCGCATGGCTCCTCTGTAGATCACTTCAATCAGGTCCATGAAATCTTGCTTGGTTTTGAAGCTGCCAACGAACTTGGTGTGATCTGGAGAGCTGAAACACAAACAATTATTAACAACTGTTGGCCTTATTCTGACTCTTTGCGCATCAGCAGTAGCTTATACTTTTGGTATGTGTTGATATGTATCCACAAAATTGACATTGATTATTCTTAAGCTGAAAGTCATGCCATCAAAATGAATTTGAAAAAAGTCTGAAATCCCTTGTTTCTTTATAATTAGGAAAGGAAATACAACGCTTTAATGAAACGTGTCAAAATAAATAGAGCATCAGAGTTTGTAAAATTCGAATGAGTTTGAAAGTCAATATTTGGTATGACCACCTTTATTCTTCAACACAACCTGAACTCTCTTAGGCAAGCTTTTATATAACATCTGTAAACAGCCTTCAGGAATGGCAAATGGCAAATATTTGTATAGCGCTTTTACTAGTCCCGCCTAGGGACCCCAAAGCACTTTACACACCCAGTCATCCACCCATTCACACACACATTCACACACTGGTGATGGCAAGCTACATTGTAGCCACAGCTGCCCTGGGGCAGACTGACAGGCAAGCTTTTATAGAACATCTGTAAACAGCCTTCAGGAATGAATGTTCTGTTGTCTGTCAAGATCGACGCGATGGGCAGAGCCGTGAGTACTCAAACCGTGCTTATTGAACGCAATATGGATAAGATCTTGGAGAAGCTCACAGCTCTGCAAAGAGAACTGGATAGACCTGGGGACCAGTGATGGATATTAGATCACCTGCGAAATCAAATGCAGCCTGGTCGCTCTAACCTTAAACCAAACAACCATCATCTTATTCAGCTACCCGGCCGAAAGCTGGCTGGAACAACTCCCCCTGATAACAGGACTGTGATTTGACCCTCTGGCCACATCCTTCAAGGCCAACTGCGGCGGCTGGAGAACTGCTGACTTTTGCTTAGAACTGGGTGAAAGGACGCTCTCTTTTCAGTTGATACAGGATACACACACGCACACAGACACACGTAATCAGACACAGATATACAATCACCCTCCTCCCCCCTCCAAGCGGCTCCGATGCACGTCCTTTATGTTATATGGTGGTGTGAAGACTCATGTGCTCTCTGTGCTGAGGTGTTTTTTTTCTGTTCTCAAACTGTCGTCCTGTAGGAGCTCAGTCTGGGTGGAGTTCTTTTTCCTCCTCATGTTCCATCATATATTGCATATTCATTGCTTCCATCCTACCTCTCTTGACATGTCTTCCCAATGTGAAGTATGGGATTTGTATGTACAGTCAGAAAGGGTCCAATCTCACTGCATATGCACGTAAATGGCTATCTATCTACATATCTAAGATGACCCCACAGTGCTTAAATAACGCTTAAGGTCTGGGCTTTTGGGGGGCCAATTCATGACTGATAATTTTCCATGTTTTTTTTTTTCCTCTATCCAGGTATACTTGGATTTAGGGGTGGGTTTAAAAAAAAAACTGATTTCCTGATTCAAATCTCTTTTAATTTGAATAATGTGATATTGATTCATTATTCAAAATTCATTGAACCAGCAGCTAAGACGATAAGAACTACACTTCTGTTTAATACACATTGCCATGCAGTTCCTCTTACTTTGGCAGTTTTGCTTCCACCACGATAAAAATCACACTTCCCGCACAGCTCTCTCTCTGTACTTCAAGACCAGTTTACCATCAAAAAATCTCTGGTTTCTGCCTTATTTGGTGGCTTATTAAACGCCAGTCTGTGTAACTTGACTTCCTACAGTTTTTTCATATGTATTTTAAGGGAACACTGCACAGCATGATCACAAATGCTATGTTTTCAGCTAATAGCTATTTGTAATACACCTTGTAGGTGAAAAGTGCCAATTAATGTCTTGTCTTATCTTTTGCACATATCATAGATTCAATTAAATAAGCAGAGACACATAAGGTGTTTTTGCTGCCTAAAGACACAATGTGTGTGTGTGTGTGTTTTAGATTACTTCTTTGCTAAGTAATCTTTTAAGCGTTTGTTTAACAAAACAAAAAAACTCAAGAAAGTCTGGCAAGGAAAATGTAACTGAGGGGTAGCTCAGTGGCCCTCGATAATCACTCGGGTCACTTCCCTGGTTCAAGCTATTCGACTGCTTCAAACTAATGTCTTCTTATAGTGATTTTAGGTTAATGTCATTCTGAGCCCTAGGTCCACTCACCCATAATCGACCTTCATGTGCTGTCCGTTGAAGAAGAAGACAGTGGAGGGGATGTAGCTTATGTCGAAGTATCTCGTGTAAATGGGAGCTTTATCAACATCGACGATGTAAATGGACGCCATGTTACTCAAGTCGTGGGCCGTTTTAGAGAGCTACAACAGAAAGACAGGAGACACATGAGCTAAAGTAGAGAGTGAGCAGTTATTATTTACATTCATGTCACCGTTTCAGCTTACTATCTCGTCGAGCTGCAGACACACCGAGTCATCGTCCCTGCCGAACCGTAAAACCACGACTTTTTCTGCCACCCCTTTAATGACTTCGTCGATATCTTTTTTGCACGTTAATTTGTGCAAAAACAAACTCATTTTGAGGCTAACGAGCTAACGTCTCCCCCTGTACGGTTGTTTTACTTCCGGGAGGGAAGTGCGTCATCATTGCGTCGTGTGCGACACCATCAAATATCCGCCTTAACTTTAATTAGAGACACTGTGGAAATAATTTAAATAAGCTGTGGTTTATAATTTATTATATCATATTACCATTTAAATATATTATATAGATTCAGCTGGCTAAAAACGGCTCGTGTTCTCTTCTCAACAAAGACAATCAATGCTGTGCCACCTCGTTGTTTCCTCTACGACACATTATAATGTGACACCGTGACCTTCTTCCCTAGTGTTTGAGAAGCCTGGCCGTCAACACATGTGAGCACACGTCTGAGAACGTTCTGGACTCTGAGTGAGATGTTGCCGTTACTTGTAACACTTGAATAACAGCGGAAGTCTGAGAGAAGCGCTTCTGTAAACACAGTCTGGCTCTCCTGGTTTTCTAAGCAGCTCTTGTTTCGTTTCATTTGTGGCGATGTTGCTGCGGCTCTTCACTCCCAGAGGCTGTGCTGTTTTTTGGAAATGCGCTCATTCTGTGTCATTCTGCGCTTTCGGGAGGCAAGTGTGCAGTTTTAATACCATTAACAGCAGGGCCAGCAGGCACAGAGCGTCCATCGCGGTGTCCATCCGCCTCCTCAGTGCTATCAGCCCAGCGGGGACAGATGCTGCGCAGACGAAAGCAGGTAAAACCCAGGAAACAGAGGCTCTAGATCTGGACAGGTGGAAGTCTGTGATGAGATCCCAGGCTGCATTTGATGAGAAGCAGGTTCAAGATGAAGCAGAGGAAAGTGATGATGATGAGAACCTGAAAGAGCCAGGAGATGATTCAAAGGACGGGTCTTCTCTGGAGGCAATGCGGGATCTGGTTGCGATGTGGCAGCAAGCTGGAAAGCTTGTACCTGAAGAGATGACTGATGAGGAGGTGGAGACACTGGCGAAGCTCACCACCAAGTCTTCCAGGAAGAAGTACCTGAAGTACCTGGCTCTCAGGGAGCGCCACAAAAAGGCCCGTAAGGAGAAGCAGCAGCAGAAGGCAGCCAAGAGAGAAGCATCTTTGATGGAGAGAAGAGAACTGGAGAGCGGTGGAGAGGAAGGGGAGGGCGAGGGTGGACCCAGGTTGAAAAACACACTCTTCCTTCAATTCTGGGACCGTTCTCTGGACAAGCTGCTGGCGTGGAAGTCCGCTCAGTCCATGGTGTTTGGTCAGCCGCTGGTGTTTGACATGAGCTATGAGTCGCACATGTCCAGACGGGAGATCGAGAACACAGTGTCCCAGCTGATGGATGTTGTAGGGCTGAACCGGCGTGCCACTGAGCCCTACCATCTCCACTTCTGCAACCTGCAGCCAGATGGACTCTACAAGAAGGAGCTGATCCAACGGTACGGTGCAGAGACTTGGGAGCGCCTACTCATCTCCACCTCTGAGCGGCAGCACGTTGACCTGTTCCCCCGCGAACAGCTCGTGTACCTCACTGCAGACTCGCCCAACGTCCTCCGCACCTTTGACCACTCAAAGGTTTATATCATCGGAGCTCTAGTGGACCGCTCGATCCAGAAAGGCTTATCACTGGCCAATGCAAAGCGTCTGAAGCTGGCCACAGCCCGTTTACCCCTTGATGAGTTCCTCCACTGGGAGATGGGAGCCAAAAATCTGACTCTGGATCAGATGATCTGCATTATGCTCTCTTTCAAGGATAGAGGGAGATGGGATGAGGCGTTACAGTTTGTGCCTAAAAGGAAGCACGATGGCTTCCACCAACAACAGACGCAGACTACCAGACACAGAGCCAGAGATGATGGCGACAGGCCACCGAGGTCAGGAGAGAAAATAAATATAAACATATTTAAAAACAAAGAGCACAGAGAGTCCGGGTTCACTGGAAGAGACAGAGAAAACACACCAGCTGGAACCAAAGTACGGACATCATTAAAGAGTGACATAGAAGCCAGAAAAAGTGGAGGCAGGAACAGGATGTGGTGGCATGATGAGTGAGAAAACTAACTTTTGCTATTTTGTAAATGTAAATTGAAAGTGAATAAATGCTGCTTTAATGACAACAATGCAAAAGTAGAAACTACTTTGGTCTTTATTTTAGAAAAACAAAGGATGTACAGATATTTGTTGTGCATTCACTGCAGATGAAACCATCACTATTACTGCAAAGAGCAGTCGTTTCCAAAAGAGATGAAAGAAACAGCTCAGTTTTAAATACATATTTTCAATCGATTACCAGTTATTTTATTGTAATGTGTTTTGAAGCAAAAATACAGCCCTTATACATTTCTTTTTAAATAATAATAGACAAAACAAAAACGACATTAAATGAAGAGGGGAAAAAAAAAAGAGTCAAGGTCATTTTTGCTCTTGTAGTACCATCTGTCCACTTCCAAAATACTGTATATTTACATGATGAAATATACAAAATATATTAATACAGTGTTTTCCTAAATAAGGTAGCACCATTATACAGAGGAAGTGTGGCTCCTGCAGTATAGGAGGGACCCTGATTCACTTTATATACAGTCACAGTGGAAGCAGCTCACTGGAGGGTATTTACACAACATACTTTCAAGTCTCAGGATCAAACTTACAGCTGGAATATGCAAATAAAACTCAGCACACCCTCAAACACACTAAAGACTGGAGGCTCCGAAGGAGTATTAGTGCCACATTAAGAAAAAAATGTTTTTGATCATTTTGAGAGTAAAGTCAAAATGTGGCAATTAAAACCTTCTAAAAATGCCTTGTATAGATGAGTTACTTCAGAATTGCATTCAGTAATAAGGCAATAATTTCTCTGTTACTACATAAACACAGTGTAGTGATAAATATGAGGATGGTGCAAAACATTGCATCTGATCAGAAGAAAGAAAAGCACAAACTTGAAAGAGTTGGCTGAATTTCTGCAAACCAAAGTGGCTGGCAATGGACAGATGCAAGCATATCCAATGGTTACACCTGGGTGCAATAAAGTAGGTAAGTCACAACATACAATAAGACACCAACAGATGATCAAGTTGTTTCACTAACTCATCTACACAAGGACGTCTGTAGAAGGTATCGCAGCCGTGCCAGCTGTTTGGCTTGAAACAACTATAATCTCCACATTTCTACTTTCTTTTTTAAAAATAAATATATTCTCTGCTCCAGTTGCCTAGGTAACCTCCAAATGCATATACTTTCAGATAATAAGTCAATCATTCTTACAGGTAGTCACTTTAGTCGCTGGCCTGGAAGTCGAGAAGAACTGATCTTGGGTTCTGTCCATGTCCATCGCCAGTGACTATGGTCACCGATCATCACACTGCTGTGAATCGCTTCCAGCGTGCATGTTTGCATCTCTGTTCAACGCATAACACGGACTCACCTTGATGTCACATCCCAGTGAAATGTCTAATCATTGCGTTACGATTCCTGAATTCAGTTAAAGAGCAAATAAAAGTAACAAAATAAACAGAGCCATATATATTCCGACCATCATCTGAAATGTAAAAATAACAGTCAGGGTAAAACCACAACCAGGAGAGCAGCAACTGTCTGCTGCTGTTCCAACTAAACACAAAGCTCCAGTAACCCTCAGACTACACTCAGTCCTTTGAAATAAGCTCCAACGATGTTTGTGGTAGTCTCTGTGACCTCTACAGCACCAGGATGTCTCCTGTACAGCGCTCACAGCAGTTAAACGTAATGTTCTCGTAGCGGGTGTAAGGGTGAAACCTGCCAATGCTCTTCTTACTATTGAGGAAGTTTGAGGGGGTGGAGTCACTGAGTGGAGACTCAGCCTTGTTTTCGGAGCAGGAAATGGGATCTAAACTCTTCAGCACCTGAGACAGAAAGTGAGTGACATCTGTGAGTTTCTGGATTTTCTTACAAATGTGAGAAATTAAATATGATATTTATCATAAACAAACATGTAAAACCTTCACCTTCTCGGCCATCTTCTCAGCCGGTGTGCTGCAGAGCTGCTCAGCTGCTGCGCTGCTGCTGCTTTTTGCGGCATTGGTGCTGGTGCCGCCGCTGTTACCCAGCAGGTGGGCGTTGATGGCGTCTGCTAGCTTGTGATTGGCCACCGCCAGCTCTCCCGTGCTTAGGGGTTGTGAGGTGGGATAGTACGTCTGTTGTCTGCCCCACTGCAGAGACACCAGGAGCTGCTCCAGAGATCTGAAAACACAAAAACAGGTAACGTCAACACATACTGCCATCATTCACGCCAGCATCAGGGGCTCTGAGTTCCAGTATGCTTTAAGTTTAGAGTTCTTATAATAGACACTCCAGTTTATTTAATCACTACATGTGAGTCACAATCTTACCTGTGGGTGAGCATCATGTCCCTGGAGAACTCCTCTCTCTCCAACAGCAGGTCCTGAATTGCTCCTTGTGCCTCTCTGGTCTGTCTCTGCAGAGCTGCTCTGGCATTCGTTAGTTCCTCTGCCATGACTCTGAGGAGACAACACAAATTCAAGAGTTTATTCAGCAAAACACAGATAATATATATACACACATACATTTTTTAATTTATCTTCCACTGAATTATAGTGTCCATTACCTGCTGGCCAGGAACTTGCTCCTCCAAACGTCACACTGGATACTCATTCGCTCTAGTTGCTCTGCAGTGTGTGCCAGACTCCTGCCCAGAGCCTCGTTCTCCAAAATCAGCTGATTTTTCTCCCGTGACAGGCGCTCAAAGTGGTACTGAAGGTCGTCACCCACCGACGCCACCAGCAGCTTCTTTAGCTCACGGTTCACCTAGCGCACAAATTTGATAAAACCTCCTTTTACAACTGAAAACACAAATGAGAAGTTGAACTGTCTTCTCTCTTCGTATTGTAAAGAACTTTGTCATTAAAAAGAAAAAAGCTTTAAGAATAACAAACCATATTAGTTACATTTTTGTTGTGCTCACCATTTTTTTTTTTTTAAAAAAGGGTCCTCAGTGTGTCTGATATTTAAATAATGCGTGTCAGTTTCATTGCAGCCTCACCTCTGTTTGCACACGGAGCTGATTGGACAGGCCTTCTTTGTCCTGCAGCAGCCTGCGCTCAGAGTTCTGCAGCTTCACCAGCTGT